GCATAGTGCTGGATGCTTTATTTGACTATTTTTTTCGCCAGCTTCAGCAGCTGTAAAATTCTGTTCAGCGACGTACAAATTCTCTTCGTGGAAAAAGAAAACTCCCCACTTAACATAAAAATTGTCCTGAGCCCTTCCCTTTCATTATAACTTCGTGAAAAGCCGTAAAATGTACTTGAAAAACCTCCAACCAATCAACTGAGTAACGAGCCTACTGAGTAAGTTCCAGGCTGGATTAAACTTTCGATGACAACGTGATTAAAAATGAGTCCTTAATAAAAATGTCGGTGTAGAATATTGTCATTTGATTGATTGGCTTGTTTTAATACGTGATCATCATCAGTAAACATCTGTTGCTGGGATATTTCTGGAGTCTTTTTCTCGTCATTTCGTCAATAGAAACAATGATAATTTCAATAATAGGAGCAACTTAGAACTTTCGAAAATTGTCGTTTTTTCTCCAATCATACTCTAAATTGGAAAAGTATCCCGATAATATAACTCCGAACGAAAGCTATTAAACTCCGACTCTGGTTATCTGTTGGAGGAAGTTTCGGGTTTAGACTGCCGATTTTCTCAAATTTCTAGCCATGTTTAATAATTAAGCATGTTTTATTTATATAACGGGGTAAGTTTCTAAAGAAACTGTGGTGCTGCGTCGGTAAAGGGTAAAAAAGGGAGCCCTTCGTCAGTATAGCAGGTAATTTAGATGTTTAATAATTAAGCATGTTTCATTGATATAAATACATATGACTCATAAGCTGTACATATGACTCATAAGCTGTGTTTTTTCCGGCTTAGGTAGAATATTAGTAGCCTTCGCAGAGCTGCTGGCTGAAAACAAAAGTGATCTCCTATGTCAGCAAATATGTCGAGCGTGATCAGCCCTTCTTGAAAACGTAAATTAGCCACCGTAAAGGGTAAAAAAGCTGACGTTTCGAGCGTTAGCCCTTCGTCAGAAAATTACCTTTTATTTATATAGATAGATACGATACATAAGCTATGTTTTTTCCGGCTTTGGTAGAATATAAGTGGCCTTCGTAGAGCTGCTGGCTGAAAACAAAACTGATCTCCTGGCACCGCAATATGTCAGCAAACGTGACAGCAACGATGAATGGAACACAGTCCATGTCGAGCTGCTTCAACCCCACAGCGACAAGAATTGGTGAAACCTTTGCCTACTGTCTGCTATTTGTTGTGTCGCTGGCTGGAAATATCCTCATTGGAATTATTGTCTACAAGGAGAAAGCTCTGAGAACGCCAATCAACATTTTGATTGTAAACATGGCAATTTCCGATCTGTTGTACTCGATTATCAATTTTCCTGCACTTTTTGTAAGGTTAAACACAGCCAGCCACTGGCTGCTCAGCGGTCCATTTGGCCAAGCGTTGTGTAGACTAAAGTATTTCGTTAATGATGTCTCCATTGCTGTGTCCATTCAGAGCCTAGTTCTGATAGCAGTGGATCGATTTGTAGCTGTGGTATTTCCTCTCCGTCCCTCACTGATCAGTTCAAAGCGATGCAGGCTCTTCATTCTCGTAATTTGGGTCGTCGCCATGGCAGTCTGTTGCCCACAATTGCTTGTGTGGAAAGTTGTCGAGAATACAGAAGGGCTGGTTTGTCAGCGGGAGTGGATCGACAAATTTAGAGAGTCCTCACGGATTAAAAACTACACTCTGGTAATGATCATTGTATTCATCTATGTCCCTTTGGTTTTGATTGCCATACTTTACTTTTCCATTGCCGTAAGAATTAAATCGCAGAAGATTCCAGGTGAGCCTTCAGTTGACGCAAGAAAACAGCGCTTGAAGAGAGAAAGAAGTGTTCTGAAGATGTCCGTTGCCATCGTGTTCGTTTTTGCAGTATGCTGGCTGCCATTCAGTATCGTTTTCCTCTTATTCTTGTTTTCATCAGACAGCGCCATGATGTCATCTTGTGCCTTCCAATACTCTACACATATTGTCCTTTTTCTGGCTGCATCATACTGCGCTGTAAACCCTTGTGTCTGTTTCATATTCAGCGGTAATTATCGTCAAGGTCTTAAGAACCTCCTCGGCTGTTTCTCTACTAATAGAGCTGCCCAGACATAGTTGTTGCCCCAATTTTTTGCACACTGTTCAGTATTATTCGAGGAATCAAATTTGTTTCCCATGCCAACAGTTGGTTTCCCACATTTTCAATCTTTGTTTTTGTTTTTCTAACTTGTAAGGTCAAACCTTTTTGAAAACTCTTGCATTTAGCATATCATATCGAAAATAACAGTCAAGCTCTTACGAACATCGCTTTATTGCATCCAAAATGTTTGAAGTAGCACTCAGTGAAATTCAGTTAATAAATAGAAGAGAGTATTACGATTTTTCCTTTTTTTCCTCGTTTATCTATTTTCAGCTGCACATGAAAAAGAACAACGTATTTACCGAGATGAACTGCGATCTCTATAGGATACGTTAAATCCAGTTGTTTCCCAAAACTTGTAAATAATATTTATTTAATTCATTTACGTTAGTTTACCTTATAGCAAGAGAAACTTTGTTCAACGGTTCAAACCGTTTTTTGAACTCTGACTTAAGGATTTCGGTTGTATTGTGTACAGTTTGCGGTTAGTAAAGTTTTACACTCTTCGTGTAAAATAAAGAGGTTTCCAATCAATATGTGATAGAAAAAGAAAAAGTAAAATCTACTTGACATCTAATATTACAAATAAATATTATCAAGAAAGCAATGGGAACTAGTTCTGTTTCTGTTTCAGCTTCAGATTATTTGTCATCACGGTCATTCCTTTTTATGGAAAACAAGAGTTTTGGGGAAAAAAAAACCCTAATGGATCGAAAATTGCCTCTCTTCCTGAATTCTAACGAATACTGAGTTAACTTTAAAAACCTTTAGTCATATCTCTTTGCCTTGAGAGTAAATGTTACAGAGTCCATTAGGAGATCAACCGAATTTAAAAAATTTTACATGAAAAAACCGAACTTTTGACGTTCTTCTGGGAGGGACAAACCCTGGAGAAGAAGAGGCCGACCTAATGATGAGGACTATAACTAAAAGTACGTATGAGAGTAAGCAAAGTGCAGGCTCAGAACTTGTCTGACTCCTGTGAGCCTCATAACGGGGAGAGAGCCTAAAAAGCATCTGCACATTTTACTGCGCATGTCGAAGTTGCTTGGGCTCATAATGGAAACCGTGTAGAGGGTAGCAAAGCTGTCTGACTCTTGTGAGTCTCATATTTACCGTGCAGAAATATATCAATAGGTGTGATCTGCTTATCATGGAAACTTTGAAAAGAGAACATTTTACCGTTTCAATGAGCGACATATGCCCAAAAGAGCCCCTAAATTACAGGGTGACCCTATTCAATGGAATGATAGAACGCTGGAACCGTGGACGGTAGAACGGCGGAATAGTTGAATGGCGGAATATCCCAAAACCCGTCTTAAGAAGTGGAATAGCGGAATATCCCAAAACGTGGAATGCCTTGCTGTATGAAACAAAAGTCTCACAAAAATAGAATTGTGATGAAATACGAAAATAATTCAGAGAGCATTACATGAAACACTTATGAAAGGCTGTTTCGAAAAAGCAAATAAATTGTGGAACTAGCTACTTAGCATAAAATGAGCTAAACGATTTGATTAAAAAACTATTACATGCCTAACCTATTCTGAATAACAGCTGGCCATCTGTCGGGTTTTAATTGATGTTTTGGTGCGAATTATTATTTTTGGGTGTATAAGGTAGAAGGATTGTCCAGAAAACTAGATCCATGAGAAAGCCTATCAACTTTTTCTTGGTAAATATGGCCATATCCGATCTTCTGTTATTCCTTTTTTACAACAAACAACACAAACGCTCGGCTCCTGGTTGATCAGCGGTCCTCTTGGAGATGCGTCGTGTAAGCTGACTGTCTTCTTGGGAGATATCTGCTTTAGTGTGTCTATTCAAAGCCTAGTTTTAATAGCATTCAATCGATTTGGAGCTGTATATTTTTCCCTCCGTCCCTAACTGATCAGTTCAAAGCTGTGTCGGTTCCTCATTCTTTTCACTTGGATCATCGCTATTCTTACCAGCACCTCGATGAAATAAGTTAACAAATGGAAGCTATTTCCATGGTTTTTCTGTTTTTTCTATTTTTTCAGTTGGTAGTTGTTTTACGATCGCAACTGGTTATTACACTTTTGTTTTTGATTTTTTTTGATTTTTTTTTTTTTTTGGGGGGGGAGGTCTGTTTATTTTCAACTGAACCGTGCAGAATGAAAAATTACGTCACTGAGATAAACCGGATTTCCCTCAGACCTATTAGGTCCAATTATTTCACGAAACTTAGAAATAATCATGAATTGAAATGTCTGCTTTGAGAACTAACTTACTTAAATCCTATTTACAATTTACATTATGGCAAGTCAAACTTAGTTCATTGGTTCAAACCATTGTTTGAACTCTGCTGCTTGTTTTCCGGTTCTACAGTGTTTATTCCCTTACCACCTGTAAATAAAGAGTTTCCGATCAGTCAGAGAGGAAATGAGCAAAAGTTAGATCGAAATGAAACACAATACGAAAAATAAATGCAATCGACTCCCGATAACTTGAACCTTTAAGGAGAATTGAAGAAGGTTCCACTGAGTTACCGGGAGTTCGAGTTAACGGGAATTGAAAACAAGGGCTCGGGAATGAGGGAAAAACGGTGTTTACTGTTTTTCGTCTTATACAGTATACATTTTAATACAATTCAATTACAGAGAAGTCGAATGAAAACGGAACACAAAATTACTGAAAATTACCTGAGTTAGCGGGAAGCTCGAGTTATCGAGGGTTTGAGTTACCGTGGATAAAACTGCTAGAAATGTTTGATGGAAATCCAGGGGAAATCGGTTTTTATTCAAGTTAACACGCGGGGTTCAAGTCAGCAAGGGAAGATTTATGAGTGCATGCGTTCGTTTAAGGCAACGGGGATGGGAAAATGTTAGACGATATACTTCACTTTCAGTTTTACCTGAAAAAGATGTCAGCTTTTGAAACACCATTGCGGCCACCAAAAACGCCAGACTACCGTCCAAATCTGGACGAGGCGATGGAATTAACGTACACTGATCCGAACCTAGAACCGGACCCAGAGGATAGCCCTCCAGCATCACAACTCGAGCCAAGGCATAAAGCTGCATTAGCCAAACAACGCAGCAACGAAGGTCTACGCCTTCAAAAAGAAAGCCGTCAAAAAGAAAACCTTCCGAGGAATACCCGATCCACGCGGCAGCCAAGGAAGAGGAAACATGAAGACACCATCAGCGCTATCCAGTTCAAGAAGCAAAAAACTGAAACCTCCATTTTAAAACTGGAGAGACACTTACAACAAAAGACTTGCCCTAAGTCGCTTCAATACAAGGCGAAGGCAAACGTCACGCCTGACGAAACCTTTCGACAGGAAATAAGCGCTATTAAAAGTCACGCCGAAGCACAATACGTTAGCGCCCTAGTGCGCTTCCATCAGCGTAGACTTGTTAGTCACAAGAACAAACTTGAAAAGGCTAATATTGCCAAGTCTCGATCACAATACAATGTAAATACACGTGAAAGATCACGTTCGCCCTTGAGGAACATTGTAAATACTGATGTCGACAGGATAGACAAAATAGAAAATCAGCTTTCAGAGCTGAAAGATCTTATATGTACCATAGGCGGCCCAAGCTCACGTCTCGAGAAAAAGCCAACGATGATTTCATGAACGCGTCACGCGTTGTGTGACTCGGTGTTAAGTTACGGGAGGAACCGTTGAAAATTTGAACACGTTATAAGGCATAGTATGGGGAACGACATATGGTCGATTTATAACGATAAATATTTCGAAATCTGAATATTTTACACGTAAAATCAATAAAAACTTACTCATGCCCTGTGTATCCGTCAAAGTTTCTAGCGATTTCTGCTGTTTTAAGCTTGCTTTACCATCACTGTTAACCATGTCAAAAGACGAAGTGATGGTAAAGCAAGCTTAAAACAGCAGAAATCGCTAGAAACTACGACGGATATACAGGGTATGAGTAAGTTTTTATTGATTTTACGTGTAAAATATTCAGATTTCGAAATATTTATCGTTGTAAATCGACCATATGTCGTTCCCCATACTATGCCTTATAACGTGTTGAAATTTTCAACGGTTCCTCCCGTAACTTAACACCGAGTCACACAACGCGTGACGCGTTCATGAATTCATCGTTGGCTTTTTCTCGAGACGTGAGCTTGGGCCGCCTGTGTATGTACACGCTTTCAGAGTGATAATAAACATGTTGAAAAGTACAACAGTGTCATCTCTGAAAAATCAGTCGCCAAACCCACTACAGCAAAAAGGCTATCCAAGAATAATAAACGCAAAAAGCGTAGAAAAAAATACACTACACAAGCGAGTGACTACAGAAAGGGAGAAAAATGAAAAATACCTTAAAAACCTTTCAGACAATACATTAACTGATCACCAAGTCAGCGTGTTAGCAAAAGGGCTCAAATTTATTGAAACACCCGTGACAAATGAAAATAAGATCAGGCAACAATTGTTGCGTGACTTCGAACAATTCGCTAGGCGAATGAGACTTAGATATATATTCCACGGGAATGACAAGGACTCACATCCTTTCCACGTCAAATCAAACTGGATACCACCAGTACAACCTTCTATTGCCCTTGAACGCTACTTGGAAAATATCAAGTTAAGCCTTGCTGAAATAGAAATAACAAAGCCAAAACACAACCTGTCATACAACGAACACAAAGCAGTCAAAGAACTGCAAAACAATACTGCCATCAACCTTAAACGTGCTGACAAAGGCACCACAACAGTGATTCTCAACAAGAGGGACAAAATTCAAGAGGCCCAGGTTCAGCTCGACAACAGAGACCACTACCGACCTCTTGAAAACCCCATGGTCACTGACACATTAAAAAAAGTTAATGAGCTTATTGCTCAACTGCACAATGGCAAACATATAGACGATATGACAAAAAAGTGGCTTTCACAGACTCCCAATCCGCCCAGAATACCGATTTTCTACACTTTAACAAAAATCCACAAACCTTTGCCAGTGGGTAGACCGATTATATCGGGCTGCGAAGGACCAACTGAAAGGATATCATCCTTTGTAGATCATTTATTACAGCCTATTGCTCAAAAGCAAAAATCCTATCTCAAAGATACAACTGATTTCATCAACTTTATAGAGAAAACGCAAGTGTCAAATGATACTATTTTAGTATCAATGGATGTAACAAGCTTGTACACAAACATCCCACAAGAAGAGGGTATCACAATAGTATGGCAAGCATACGAAAAATACCACAATAACAGCCCTCCCATTCCGTCCCACTACTTAAAACAAATGCTCGGGCTTATACTGAAAGAAAATTCGTTCCAGTTCAACGGAGTAAACTATCTCCAATGTTTTGGAACTGCCATGGGAACACGAATGGCGGTTGCTTTCGCCAACCTCTTTATGGCAGAAATTGAAACAAAACTGCTTCACCAAAGCAGTATCAAGCCGACGTTTTCTCCCTGTGGGATGTTCGTAAACAAGACATTGATCTATTCATAGAACAAGCTAACACGTTCCATCCAACTATAAAGTTCACGGCTGAAATCTCAGAGACTGAAATCACATTCTTAGACACGGTTGTCTACAAAGGTGAAAGATTCCAAAACGAAGCTATCCTCGACGTCAAAACTCACTACAAACCGACCGAGACCTTTCAATATACACACTATTCATCTTGCCACCCGCCAGGTGTTAAGAAAGGCTTTATTAAAGGAGAAGCTATCAGACTTCTAAGAACAAACTCCTCGGAAAGAAATTTCCAGGAGGCCATGTGTAATTTCAAAACACGACTTGAAGCACGTGGTTACCCAAAAAGCCTAATTGAAAAAACGTTATCTGAGGTCTCGTTTGCCGCAAGGCAGTCGACACTTAAAAAACAAACCAAAAAAACTAAAGGCAAAATATTGCCTTTTGTGACAGCATACCACCCAGGGGTTAAACATTTACAACAAATACTGATGCAAGAATGGAACCTCATCCAAAATCAGCCACTGCTGAAAACAATTTTCAAAACGCCTCCGATTATATCACACAAAAGAGGTAAATCGCTCAAAGACATACTCGTCAGAGCGAAGCTTTAATTAAAGGCTTTTGCGTCGCAAACGTAAAACCACACAGGGGAGTCTGTGTAGGCCTGTCTATGACCTTTTCACTTTTTGAGCAAGAATTTGCAACATGGGCGTTTGAGAAAAAAGACTTATAAATGTTTTTGTTCTGTACTTAAAACAATTCTGGTTGTATTAACATTCTCTCAGCTAATGTTGAATACACTGAAGTAGAAGTGCATGGAGTATTCAAGTGATATAGAATCTTTGGTAGCCTTATACTGATCACAGCATGTAGCATGGCAAGCATTCAATCAAGAGTCCTTGAGATACTTAATACGCCCTTAACTAATATGAGTGCTATAGGATAACAAATGATTTCATTCTCAATCTAGGGGTTTTGCGTTTTTTTTATTTTTGCAGAAATGACTGATGTATATGCTGGTGTGGTTTGTGAAGTTATGGTTATTTAAGTGACAGTCTCCTTTGGTTATACATGATTGCTTTACAGAAAAAATGTGGAATGGACAGTTACACTTTATTATTTATCATAAAATATGCAAATTGAGGCCTTATTGATTTGGCCCCGGTTGTTGAAGCAGCAAATTTAATCTCCATCTGGTGGAAAGCAAGCTTTTGATGACACTTAAGCACCAGACAGCAATTTATCCATTTTTAGATAACAATTAGACAAGTACCTCTTATTTCTAATTAGTCCTACAATTATAATACAACATTTCATGTCAAGCTGTACACTTGGAAAAATATGATTTTCATGTCTGCGGATGGATACTCATAATTTATTGTCTGTATAAACCCATAAATAATAAAATTAAAACATTTGTTCCTTGGTTATGTTAGAAAGGCTCCCTTTATAAAATTCAGATCCCTTTAGAATTAAGTTAAGCCAAGTACACTTCTGCTGCCCTGTAAATATTGATTCCATTAAGATCCAGCTGCATTTTAAATTCAAACGACTGTACTTGTTGTGGAAAAATTATTTAAATGGCTGCAGTGACTTACTCAAGTTGTCCAAGAGAAAAGTTTGTCTTTGCAGCTAAGGTCTTTTAAACACATTTCCTTAAGTTTTTCTGCCTCCAGGTAGTGTCTCCACTGTCCATGTGAGATACTTTGCTGTAAATTACACCCACTCTGAATATAGTTTTTCTCTGTTTTAATGCTTGGGACATTAAATGCTACTGATGGTTGGTGCACAAAGAAGGTGGCTTTGAAGTCTCCTCCTTGTGATTCCCTCAGTAGATGACACAGTTCATACAGACAGCCAGGAAGGATTGGACCAGAAATCTCCAGGCTGTATAACTAAAAGGATATCATCACAATTAGAGCACCCTTCATTTAAGAGTTGAAAAACCCAAAACCTAGTAAGTAATCATAGTCACCAATTACAGCAATGAAAACATCTTAAGAAACCAATGAAAATTCACAGTAAACTAAACAAATCATCTGAAGTGCTGGAAATAAATGTGCGTTATTGACCAAGCTTGTTTGATTAAGATGGCTACATATTGACCAAGTTCTTTTTTTGTGCACAATAAACCCATGAGAGTAGTTTATATTTTCTTTGTTTTTCTTGTCTTCTGCAGCTTTTTGCAACTCCATTGCCCACACTGTCCAAAAATTGAAAAAAAAAAAATTTAAAGTCCCTTCCATGCAATGTATTTTCACACAGGATCAAAGTGGGAAATCCCAAGCAGGCAAGAGAGGCCCATCTTGCCTGTTGGGGTAGCCAATCAAAGAACAGGATTCACTTCATATTGACCAAAGGCGCTGCCAGTGACATCATAAACAGTTATTGTCATAGCATGCGTTTTTCAGGTAACATACTTCTCCTCTTTCCACTTAGTTTAAATTGGCAACATAAAATTTTCAGGTAAACCTAGCAAAACATCGGAGGGGAGGGGGATCACTATGCAATACTGTTAGCAGCTTCATAACAGTGGAACAAGAATAAACTGTGTTACATGTTACTGTTTTGGCCAATAGTCTCCAGAGAAAGCATAACCTTTACCTTATTGTTGGGAGAATTATCATTGATCTTATCATGATGGTAGAGCATCTGTAAAGAATGAGGTCAAGAAATATTGAAAATCAATCAAATGTATCCTATACCTGTGCCATAGCCTTAGCTTTTTGATGCTTCATGGTCCCTTGGTTTACCTTCAGACCCTTTAAAGTGGCTCCTTCAAATGCAACAGGGGCCAGCAGTGTTGGTGGCACCTGAGCTTGTGGTCCAGTGTTGGCTGTTAAACTTTTACAGTTGAGTAGGAAGTTAAACAATGCAAGAGTATCAACTCCTCTCACTAACACTGTAGAAGTTGGTTGTTGATCTAAGCTTCTTAGATTGTTCCTCTGATGTGGTGTAACAACTTTGGGGTTTAACAGTGGAAACTGTTCCTTATCAAGTCCCATGCTTTCTAGCCACTCACACTTGTCAATACTCTCATCATCAGAATCATTCTCAAGCTCAGCATCTTCCTCTTCGTCTGAGTCCTCATCCTTAGATCCAGGCCCAGACTCTTTCTTTCCTTTGACCTCCAAGTGCGGCATGGTAAAGTTAATTCCTGGGATGTGATAATATAATATTGTTATTATGAAGAAAATTAGATTCAAGAGAAAAATAGCCTTTGAAGGGTAAAATTACTGATTAAGTGGTTGGGTAATTTCAAGGTAGATTATATTCAATACATCCTGAAAAAAGAAACCAGGTTAACACAAGTACTAGAGGGCTAGCCCTGTAATCACTTTAAATCAGGTGAACACAGGGCACGTTGGGAAAAATTCAAGATTGTGTTATTTAAACCATGATGTGTTAACTGTCTGCATAATTTTGGTGAGTTTTCCCAAACCATGGGTGTTCAATTGGTTATGTGAACAAGGAAAAGTCTTCAATTGCTGTAATTGAATATAAATTTGTAAAAACACAATAAATCTAAAATGTTACAATCATGTTTACAAATTCTTTTCTAAACAAGTGGTTGCAGCAGCTCCGTTATTTTACTCAAAACCAGTGGCATCCTGGGAGCATTTCTTGTCTTGTGGTCAGTACATGTAAGCATACATACAAATATATTCTGGAGCTCAAATCAAATTGTTATATTCCTGGACTTTCACTCAACAAAACGAGCACTGTGATTGGTTGATCTTGGTCACATGCCCCTGATCAAAATCCTGACCAGGACACAATTATGCAGTTGTGCAAGCACGCTGAATACATGTACAACAGCATGTTTTTGCCATATGATTGTTTAAGAGAAAGTCCAAATATAGAACAAAGCACCTAATGCATGGTCCCTTGGGAAACTAGTTAGTTATTGTTTTCTTGAGAGTTCTGATGTTTCCCGAGACAAAGTTGAGGGAAACATCAGGACTCTCAGGAAAACAAAACTAACTATTTCCGTGGGGACCAGACTTAAGTGTATATTATATCATCTCACTGCTAACAGCTGTTTTCATTGGATCATTGTCTCATCTTGAATAAAATCACCTTGGTTACCTACATATAAAGGTACAAGGTTACCAGCTCAAGGTTATAAGTGTCTGGTAAAGGTTTTCGATGAACTATTTCTACAATGAAACTACCCATGAAACTAATCTGTACAGTGTAATTAAGTATTATCAACTGAGTTGATAACATAAATTGGCCATCTTAAAGAGTTTAAAAGCTGACGTTTTGAGCTGTAGCCCTTTGTCAGAGGGATATCGCAGCACCACAGTTTCTTTAGAAAGTTTCTCCCTTTATTCATAAACCTGTACAGTGATGTAGATTTACCTTCACTCCTCAATGCATCCCGGAAACCTTTGGTCGTGGGTGTTATAACCACTTGAACTGCATCATCCCTGTTTATTCCAGCTGCCTGAAAAAGCATAGTGTTCTGATTTGCAACTAGATAAAAGTAAGGACAAAAACCAACGCGCACCATGTTGAAGACGGAGCGAAAACTGGACACCCAGTCATGGTGAAGAGAAGATGCCATTTCTTCCGTGATTAGAAAATGTCTTTTCAAACTAGTTCTACCATCGGCTGATTTACGTGGAAAAATTTCAAGCCACGGTAGAGAAGGGTGCATCCAAACTTTGGTAAAGGAACAAAATGATTCAGAATGAGAAGCACCATTTCCATTTGAATCGATTTCCTTTGTTTTGCAACGAACAAAATGTGATATACCAGCACCTTCGTCAAATGTCTTCAATGTCCCACACCAATTAAACGTCTTGGAAGAAGAAAATCTTACTTTAGTTTTTAAGCTCCAGTCTAAAGGAAAAAATTCTGAACCATCATTCTCGCCCATTTTCCCTTTAGTCACAGTGAGTGGAGAATCAGCAACGTCAGTTTCCAGGCTATTGCCAGTATTTTGCTGTTGTGAGTTATTACTTGTTTCATGAACAGTGTTTGTGGATCTATTTTCCTGATTCTCGTCCAGTCCATCGAGGGCACTAAACAGCCTGCATTCTGAAGTTTTCTCTTCTGCGGAGAGATTCGCCTTTTTCCTCGGAGAACACTTAAAAGGATTCGCTCGCTTTAACTCCTGTGAGCGTCCATCTTGAATTCGTCCATTGATAGGTTTCAAGGCGTTTGAAATCCGTTTTGATGAGTTTTGAGTCAGCTTCTTCTTTTTTATCTTCAATTTTATAACTCCTGAAGATTTTTTAAACCGAATAAGCTCAGGTGAGTGTTTTTCTTCCATGTTTAAAAGCGACAATTATTTTCCTTCAGCTTTGCCAGCAACGAAGTACAATGGTTTTTATAAATTCCGCGCCAAAACATCACGTGATATTTACTTTACCAGTACCCAAGCTTCCTCTCTTCGTCTCCTCAAAACATCACATTTCAACCAAAATCTTTTTCGGTAGGTTTACTCTGGAAAATATTTCTAGAAAAAAATTTTTTCTCCTGATCCCTGTAATGTTCTTCTAAGTTTTTCCAAATTCCAGTTGTTAGCAACGACGGTAATAATACTGGATTCACTTGACATTTATTGATTTCTACGTTCCGAAGCGTCAAGAATTTTGACGGACTGGACGTTTAATAATCGCCTTTAATAATCGCCTTGAAATAAGTTCATCACATATAACTCCGCAAAGTAAATTGACGAGCAAAACGACTTCAAATTATCGCTGGTTACGGCTTCTACCAATTGGGAATTTATTCAAGACGCCGTTTGATGCAGATAGCGCTATGATTATGGAATATCAGTTTTAACAGCTGACAGCTACTAGCTTATTTCGGACAAAATTTCGTTTCCCTTACTTTTGTGGTTTTTTAGACAGACGCAAATTAAACTAGTGCATGTAAGATAACAAATTCTCCAAAATTTCCCATCGAATATTTTCTTAGCCTGTGAAAAGACTGGTCGTTATGAATGACAAAATGGAGTAAAAACGACATGAAGTATTAAGTCATATCATGCGGATATTCAAAGATCCATGCCTTTTTCTTCTGCGCAAACCGGCTTAAATGTAGAGAAAATTTTATTTTGCGTGGGTAATATTTACACGAGAAAAACAGTGGTTTCTTTCCCTCGACTGATCCCTGTAATGTTCTTCTAAGTTTTTCCAAATTCCAATTGTTAACAACGACGGTAATAAAACTGGATTCACTTGACATTTATTGATCTCTACGTTCCGAAGCGTCAAGAATTTTGACGTTTAACAATCGTCTTGAAATAAGTTCATCACAGATAACTCCGCAAAGTAAATTGACGAGCAAAATAACTTCAAATTATCGCCGGTAACGGCTTGTACCAATTGGGAGAATATTCAAGACGCCGTTTAATGCAAATAGCACCATGATTATGTAATATCAGTTTTAACAGCTGACAGCTACTAGCCTATTTCGGAAAAAATTTCGTTTCCCTTAACTTTGTGGTTTTTTTAGACAGACGCAAATTAAACTAGTGCATGTAAGATAACAAATTCTCCAAAATTTTCCATCCTAGATTTTCTTAGCCTGTGAAAAGACTGGTCGTTATGAATGATAAAATGGAATAAAAACAACACGACGTACAAAGTCATATGATGCGGATATTCAAAGATCCATGCCCCTTGCAAACCGGCTGCAATGTAGAGACAATTTTATTTTGCGTGGGTAATATTTACACGAGAAAAACAGTGGTTTCTTTCCCTCGTCCAAAGAGAACAAAAACAAAACAAAACAAATTGGAGCTTCCGTCTTGTGTAAGTTGGTGTCTTTCTCTCGGAAGTCTCCGCTGCTATGTCAATTCAGAGCCTGGCCGATATCATGCTGTGGTGTATCCCTTCCATTCTCCGTTCGTCAACTCAAAGCGGTGTTCCTTATTCATCCTGGGTACTTGGATTATCGTCATGGCCATCTAGTCCCCTTTCTTTAGCGCCAATGAACTTGTTCAGTATCCCACAGCAGTGATAGAGTGTTGGCCTCACTGGGGAAATGTCTTCAGAGATACTTCTGAATTCTTAGACTACGTCGTGGCAAATATAAAAGCACTTTACTATATGTCTATGGTGTTGATTGCCTTTCAATACATTATCATTATTTGTAAATAGAATATGAGAGATGGTAAGTTTTGAGCCCGGTAAGGAAATAGAAAAAGATGTTTTTCGTCTTGTCACGAGCGTGGGACAAAGAAAACATTCGGATTCCCCATGAGGAATCGAACCTCACACCATCGGATTCCGCAGTCCGATGCTCTAGAGCATGGAAGCGCGAAATATGAAGGTCTGAAGTTATTTTCGATCTCCCTGTCAAAATGTCCTGGATCTACCTTTGTTTTATTTGTTTTTTTTTTTCTTCTGCGCAAAAACGATCTCGAATTTGATAACTTGTTCACTGAATGAAAAGCTTGTTGATAAAGGCGCTGTGAATATCATATGATCACGTGCGAGTGAACCAACTGTCCTCCTCCCTCAGACATAGCGGAGGCTTTATCTGGCTTTCTCCCACCGACTTCAGCAGCTGAGTAATTCTGTTCGGCGACGATCACCTAAGTTTTCTGAAACTTTCCGACCCATTTCTTAGATGGTATTGATGAGATAAGGAATGCCTAATTGACATATCGACGGAGTACAGAACATTAAACAATATTGTTGTTAGCTTTAACGCCCACTTATTCTCTTTAAGCTGCGAATCGTCATTCGTTAAGTGCGAAAATCGGCAATATAAGCATTTATCTATTTACTTCATCTTTTCTTTTTTTCATAGAATAACTTGTCGTTCACATGGAAAGCTGGAAGAGGAACTCTTCAGTATCAATCCTTTACACGATCTGCTCGGCTGTTTTATCTCCTCGAGCATAGTGCTGGATGCTTTATTTGGCTATTTTCTTCGCCAGCTTCAGCAGCTGTAAAATTCTGTTCAGCGACGTACAAATTCTCTTCGTGGAGAAAGAAAACTCCCCACTTAACATAAAAATTGTCCTGAGCCCTTCCCTTTCTTTATAACTTCGTGAAAAGCCGTAAAATGTACTTGAAAAACCTCCAACCAATCAACTGAGTAACGAGCCTACTGAGTAAGTTCCAGGCTGGATTAAACTTTCGATGACAACGTGATTAAAAATGAGTCCTTAATTAAAATGTCGGTGTAGAATATTGTCATTTGATTGATTGCCTTGTTTTAATACGTGATCATCATCAGTAAACATCTGTTGCTGGGATATTTCTGGAGCCTTTTTCTCGTCATTTCGTCAATAGAAACAATGATAATTTCAATAATAGAAAAAAAAAAGCTGACGTTTCGAGCGTTAGCCCTTCGTCAGAGCGATGGTGAAAACGTAAATTAGCCACCGCAAAGGGTAAAAAAGCTGACGTTTCGAGCGTTAGCCCTTCGCAATCGCTCTGACGAAGGCTAACACTAAATTACCTTATATTTATATAGATAGATACGATACATAAGCTATGTTTTTCCGGCTTTGATAGAATATAAGTGGCCTTAGTAGAGCTGCTGGCTGAAAACAAAACTGATCTCCTGGCACCGCAATATGTCAGCAAACGTGACAGCAACCATAAATGGAACACAGTCCATGTCGGGCTGCTTCAACCCCACAGCGACAAGAATTGGTGAAATCTTTGCCTTCTGTCTGCTATTTGTTGTGTCGCTGGCTGGAAATATCCTCATTGGAATTATTGTCTACAAGGAAAAAGCTCTGAGAACACCAATCAACA